TTCACACACAGACACAGTAAGTGTGTTACATAGTCAGAACACCATGTACTATATATAAATGATTAAAGAAGTTAGGAAGTAAAGAATTTCAAAAAGCTGAAGTCGATTCAAGAGAATAAACAAACCCAGAACATGAAAAAGTTGAGTATGTTAAAAAATTGAAGAATCGCTTAATTTTTCTCTTAGATAGCAATTTTGTTCAATCACAGTTTTAGAAAAGCCTAAACAAGATGGTGGACAAAAATATGACGGGCCATACAGGATTATAGGGTTGTGCGAATCATACACCGCTTGTAGCCGAACAAAAACTCACTGCACGTGGTAGCACCAGCGTTCACAAAAAACTGAGCGCAATCGCGCAGTTTTTAAATACACAAAAAAACCAATACAAGATTATGAATCAAGAGGAAAACATGATCCATACTATTATTAAACTCAAACAAGAAAAGTAAAGCAGGCCATACCTTTTTGACATCGATGTGTCAAACAATCCGAGACGACGTTCAACAAGGCTGCGCCCCATCGCGCGTGCTGCACTACTTTCCAAGAGCCTTGGCGATCTGAAAATTGCGAAAATGTTAGAGAAAAAGCAGTCATTTTGAGAAGTTAAACGTGCAAAAGAGGTCACGCACTTGGTGTAGCCGCTGAGTGCACAGCTGACTCTAATATAGCTGGGTGTACGGTAGGCTGGCGTGCCACATTCAGCACTTGCTAGATTATCCTCTGACATAAACTGTGATACACCGGCTAGTGGTGTGAGATCAAGATCCTGAAAAATTTAAGAAATAGGAAAGACAGAAATTTGCAGTGAGGAAAGAAAACTATTTGAAAGTTGGAGGCAGCTATGTTGTTATGTTTTCCTTGTAAAAAGGGAAAACACTAGGCAGAAAGAGTCACTACAGCAGCGGCATATATTGTATCGCTTGCGTGTTATTCAAATTACGGAAATGTATTCAGCACAAGCTAAACTGTGCCAAGGTGACGTAAACATGGCTAGTACCAAACACGGCTACCACATAACGATGAAAACAATCCAGTTTTATAGCTAGGCAACACCATAAGAAGCAGGAGAAACATTCTCTAAAACGCTATTTAAAACATATACTCTCACAATTCTTAGGAAAGAAATACTCAGTAGACGACCAATCTATTCTTTTTCAATTTTGATCGTGAACACAAGGTGGACTGGAAGTAAAGGATTGATACAAAGGTTAACTTTATTAACATCGCTCAGA